TATATCTCTTTGACTCTGCTTCATGCGATCTATTTCTTTCCTGAATTGCTCATTCAGGGAATCTGTCATTTTTCTAATCTCCTCCATTTTTTTATCAATATCTTCTTTAGAAGCAGTTAGAAACCCTTCTACTTCAGTGTTTTTTTCAGATTGGGTTTCCTGCCTATAATTCTGTAGTTGCTTCTTTACTTCATCTAGAAACTAAAAAAACAGGCAAAACTTTAGATGAATATGATCTTACAATCATCCATACTGACCAGACTATTTTTTTCCTCCAAGAGAATTCCCTAGTTTGTGGATTTGGATGGTAACACAGATGAAGTAGAAAGCAGTAATCTTTATAAACTGAGAAGGTAAAAATTCTAGCTGAAGGAAAGCTAATAAGTTACAAAATATGATAGTTGTAAATTTTCTGCATTTTGGGTAGTAGGAGAACTGGGTTTATCAATAATATGTTCATTTTCTAGTTAATATGAGGCCTGTCAAGGTCTAAAAGTAGACAGAAATCCATTCTCAGAGGTAGAAGTTTTCACTGCAGGACTTCAGAAATGAAAACACACATCCCACTCAAACCATCAACTCTCCTAAATTCCACACACAAAAAATAAAACTACAAATAATTCAGTGAAAAAGTAAGTAGGCCTGGACAAAACCAGTGGCACAACTAATACAGAACAATCCTTATAAAATCTTCAGGGCTGGTGAGATAGCTCAGTAGAATAAGCGCTTTCCAGGCAAGTACAAGGGCCTGAGTTCAATTCCTAGTTCTGAAAAAAAAAAACAAAAACAAAAAACTAAAATCAACAGAAAAAATGGTCATTTGGTCCTCTATCTGTTTAAAAAAAATAACTTTTGGAGAAAACTGACATTATACAGAGCATCTAAAACTTTTAAAATACAGTGTATGATATCCAATGAACAATTTGAATGAATGATTATAGAAGTGAGTAGAAATGGAGGAAATAAACATAAGTACAGTAGTTAATACAAAGTGGTTCAAATATTGGAGCATATTAGAAATACTTTTTTAAATAACTGTAAATATTGTAAAGATGTAGGAAGAAATGAAAAGAAAATATGGAAAAAGTAAAATAAAAATAAAATTTAGTTTAAAACATCACACTGAAGAGCCAACAAGATAGCTCAGTGGTCTTTGACAAGTGCAGGGACCAGGGTTTGATTCTTGATCCCTCATGCCACTCCAGCCCTGCTCCTGTCCCCAGATGTGCACTGAGCCATGACCAAGTCAGAGTGTAGTGGCACACACCTGTAATCCCAGTTCTGAGGAAGCTGAAAACAGGAGGATCCCTATGAGTCTGAGCTGCATAGTGAGATCCTGAACCAAATACATAAAGTGAAAAAAAAATCATATTGAAATTT